GATAGGTAGTAGTAAGGAAACTGGGCATAAGAGAGATGTTTGGATGCCACAGATGGTCACAGGACAGCTAGAAAGAGATTGGGTCAGCAGAAAACTTGGGACTCTGAGCCTATGGGCATACAACTCCATCACGGAGAAGCCCATGACAGCATGGGTGAGGATGGAAGCTGCATTTCTGGAGCTCCTTTTATGGTAGGACACAATCTTTAGGAGGGAGGAGAGCCCTTGGTGGATCTAATGATTTAGATTGGCACAAACGTTTGTTTCGTACGGCACTAAAGCTCTCGGGATATGAGAGAAGGGCAAAGAAGTCTGTCCAGGTCACTTGAAGGCAAATGTGACGTTTTAAATACTGAGCTGGAGTTCCTATGAAAAAATTAACAGAATACCAAATGTAGAGCTAGTGAGCTTCTGAATGCTTGAAAGCCTAGATAACGTACACAAAGCACAATGATGAGATGGTGAGGTGGAAGGGCTAAGCCCACCACAGGGATGGGCAGTCATGCTCCAGAGAATGCAGTATTTGCTTCTCCTGTGCAGGAAAGCAGAGTAAGATTGTTCACCCAGCTTGGGGCCCCTTCAGCAGCTGGGTGTGGCTGATGGAAAGGCCAAGGTCAGGGTGTTGTCCTAGAGCCTATCAGAACCAGGGAGCTGGCGCCAGTGGCAGGCATGGCAGGTGAAAGCCCAGCTTTGCGTGTCCTTGACCCTTAGCTGGGTGACCCTTAGCAGTGGTGGGGCATGCCTTTAATCCCAGCACTCAAGAGGCAGAGGTAGGTGGATCTCTGTGAGTTTGAGGCCAGCCTGGGCTACAGAGTGAGTTCCAGGATAGACAAGGCTACACAGAGAAACTATCTCGAAAAACCAAAAACCAATCAATCAAACAAACAAAAAAACCAAAACCAAAACCAACCCCCCTCCCCCAAACCAAACCAAACCAAACCAACAACGACACCAGCAGGGGTGGGAAGTGTGCGATGTCTCCATGGTGACGGGAATACCACAGGATGCGGGAGCCAGAGGGCTCACAGCAATGACAGGAGGACCAGATGGATAAAGTCCCCATCCGTGTTCCCAGTGTTGTTCCTTTGACAAGACAACTGATACAAGTGATGGGACAGTTTTGTGCACTGGTAGACTGATTTTTAAATAACCCGTTAGCCATCTAAGACACTCTCATTTGTAATGGGTAATGACAGGTCTTCAGATGAAGATCCTGCCACCTTCTGTAAAGAGGTTTCATTACATAATATTAGCCTTTGAGTATTTAATTTAAAGGATTTAAAAAGAGCAGCTGTAAGGACTGTAAAAATGGCAGTTAAGGAGACGATAAGGCACTCCCAGGAGCCATAAGGTTATTGAATGGAAAGTCCCAGTGTCCAGGATGGCTGGTCTCCCTTTGAGTTGTTGGTAGGGGAGGCTTCACAAATCATAAAGGCTATTGCCACAGTCGTTGACTGCATACCACAGACAGAACATCCTTTGGTTGCCAGATATGGATAAATCAAGCTAGCCAGGAGATGGGCGCTGGTATGAGATCGCAAGGCCACTCCCCACATAAGTGGTTAATGTCTCCAGCAGGGTGAGCTGCCTGCAGTACTGGAGGGGGCTCCAGGGATACAGCTCCTATGAGTCTTCACCCATGCTATGGCAGGCTTTTCTGTGATGGAATTGTATACCCACGCTCCTCTACGTAACACCACTAAACTCACTGATCCACTAAGGTAGACTTGGGTAGAACTGTTTCTTTGGTATGTGCCCTAGTTAGGGTGAACAAGCATGTGTTTATGCCTACCCAGAAAAAGCCATGCAACATCCTGAAAACGGACAGGAAAACATATTAAACAGCTTCTGAAAAGAAGGAAGTCCTGTGATTTGTGGTATCAATGTGTTATCTCATTAAGTGAAATAAATCAGGTACAGAAAGACAACACTACATGGTCCCAGTTAAGTGTGGAATCTAAAAGTGTGAAACTTATGGAAGCAAAGTGGAGTGGTAGTTTCCAAAAGTAGCAGAGAAAGGGAAAATACTGGTAAAAGGGTACAGATTTCAGTTGTGAGTAGCACAGCATGGTTACAATAGTCGATACATTGTTGAAATTCTGTAAGGGAATTGGTCTTAAATATTTTTATACACACAAGATACAGAAAATTGGGACAGTATGTGGGTGGTATACACATAAACACAACCTGTTTTCCCCCACAGTCATTTTTTCCTTATTATTAAAAATATTTTTGTAAGCAATTTTGATCATTGCATGAGTTATATATACACCATACATTAGTGACTTTTCTTTAAAACATTTGTGTTTTGGGGTATGTCATGTCAAGGTATGCATGTGGAGGTTCAGGACAACTTGTGGGAGTTGGTTCTCCCTTTCTACCAGGCAGGTACTAGGGCTTGAACTCAGGTCATCTGGCTTGGCAGCAAGCTCCTTTACCTGCTCAGTCATCTCTTCAGTCCTACTTAGCTATTTAAAACCTTTTCACTGTCTAGCTCAATGATAAACATTTTTTAGACACACTTTTGAGATTATTTTACTTTATTTAATTAATTTTAGGCAGGGTCTTGCTGTGTAGCTCAGGTGGGCTCTGAACTGTGGTCTTTCTGCCTTTTCTAAGTGTTGGGATCACAGGGATACCACCACAAAGGCTTTCAAATTCTGTACTCTTAATGCAGATCCCAACGGGGGTGGGGGTGGGGGTGGGGGTGGTGGATCTGAAATGAACGCTGTTGATGTGGGCTTACCTCATCATTTACCGGAAAGGTAAGCTGCACCCCTAAAACAACACGAGGACCTCAATACCAACACTGCCTTTACAAGAGAAAAAGGCTGCTTAAAAATCCTCGTTGTGGGTTTGAGAGGTTGAGGTAGGAGCCTCCACTCTGGCATACCTAGAACCCACATGGTAGAAGAGAACTGAATCCTGCAAGTTTTCCTCTGACCTCCACCTGTGACAAGAACGCTCTCTCCCTAACAACGAATGGATATTAACAAAAATTTTAAAGTTCATTTCCTATGTATAAAGTGAAGAATACATATTTTACAGACCTGTTGGCACATTTACATGTGTTGGTGTATACTGCGTTTGACGTGGTCTCTAACGTGACTCCAGCAGATGAGTGTTAGTAGTACATGCATCTCTGTGCCCGGGTATGGCTTCAATACATGAAGCAGTACTGCTACGGAGTCCTGCAGTAGACAGTGGTGAATGCATGCTCACAGAGCAGCTATACAAATGCAACACGTGCTCAAATTCCCTAAGTGGTCACCACTTCGGCAAAATGCCTCTCCAGTGATCTGTCTGTAGAAGTGATGTGTAACTGAGTACGGCTTAAGTCTTAATAATTTAAGGTGAAAGATTTAAGATCTGAGGATGGAAAAGAAATGCAACTTCAATTATAAATTTCTAAACTTTGGGGGAAGTTTATTAAAAGTAACATGTAAAACATCTTCACATTCAGAGGAAAAGAACCCCACAAATGTCTTGGGAATGAATGTGTGCTTTAATTGTTACCATGTAAAACATTTTCATACGACAAACTACTTGTAAATGTTTGTTCACGGCTTTGTGAGAAAATCAAGTGTTCTGTGTGGTAGAAATAACAGCAAATTGGAATTAAGAAATAGTGGATTCTAGCCCACAAGTTAGCTGTAGAACCTTCTAAGTCTTCTGGTCACAAAAGCCTTCCTTTACTATTTAAAGAGATCAGTCTGATCTTTAAATTCCCACCCAGCTTCAAAGTACAAAGTGTGTGTGTTCATATTGAAATGTTTATCTTATATTCTCCTGCCCTCCACTAGACACTGTTTATTGTATTCATATTCACACCTGAGTGCTTACATTCAATGCCTATTTCTCTACCTTAGACAACCAAGTTAATAACTAAGTCTAAATGACAAAGTGCCCCTGTACAGAGTGTCTAGCTTCTTAAAAAGGCATAAAACCAGAAATGGAGGGATGGCTCAGTGGGTGAAGGCATCTGCCACCAAGGCCAGTGACCTGAGTTTAGTCGTGGTGGAAGGAGAGAACCGACTCTCACAAGTCGTCCTCTGGCTTCCACATGTGCTGTGACACATGTGCACAGCCACACACATAAACACACAAAATAAATAAATGTCAAAAAATTGAGCTGGAAAGATGGCTCCGTGGTGAAGAGCACTGGCTGCTCTTCCAGAGGACCTGGGTTCAATCCCCAGCACCCACATGGCAGCTCACACCTGTCTGGAACTGCAGTTTCAGGGGACCTGAGACCCTCACAGACACACATGCAGGCAAATGCACAGGAAAAAGTAAATTTTATGGTATAACAGATTAGTACTTAAAAGAAAATATAACTATTATGTTAGAACAAATAATTCTATACTAACATGGTTGTTACGTTCAATATATTTATACATCCTATTGCTATTTTTGAAAATTTTGCTAATTTGGAAAAATTTGAACTTAAAAGATTCCCTTACTTCTATATATTCTAGAGAAACATGAGTTAGTTCCAAGACACAGAGAAATCCCATTACCTTAAAGGGCCATACTCACCAGCATCTAAGATCCAAGTGTTTACTCTCTGGTAGCTTTGTGTATCTGCTTTCCTACAAGACCACAGACTGAGAGAGGTCTGGCGGACAAAGAAGGATCACTAGGAGGCATGTGCCCACAGAAGATCAGGACTCCGCTGCCTCACCCACTCATTTCCATCCGTACTTGGTGCTAGCTCAGTGCAGGGCAGCTCCAAAGTATTCTTATCATGGTACACAAAGTAAAGTGACTAACTGTTAGGATCCACAGAGACAAGACAGTTTCTAGTGGCTATCCCTGGATGTATCCAAAAAGTCCCATTTCTCCTAGTTTATTAAAAAATATGGTTGAAACCCAAGGTACACTCACTTCTCAATGTCCTGTTCCTGAAATGCTGTGAAAGCTGAGGAGGGGCCCTCTGTCTCCCCAACCCCAGCACTCAGCCTGAGTTTGAATGTTACTCACAGATTGATTTTATATAATGCACACTCACACAGTAAGTTTATTGTTAAATTATTATGGTACCATATGCAGAATCAAGGGGTTGTAAGAAGTAAGGGGTTGATCTCCTTGTGCACTGACATGGGAATTCTTGAATAAATGAACAAATTATCAGCTAGGAAAGAAAACTGGAGCAAAGATTTTCTATAAGTCTTCTAATCCCTCTAATAGTTATGGAAAACATGCTCAAAAATTTAGAAAAACATTTTTAACATTAGACATATTAATAAATAAGCTATATTTACCTCAATAAATTGAAAAGACTTCATCAGTTTTAAGGGCAGTCTATATCTGGCTAATGAAATTATAAATATAATGTAGGCATCAAAAAATACAGGGGTGGCATAGTTTAAATTTTCCCGAATGTTGGAACTGTTAATGCTGAGTTTCCAGTTCCAGGATTGTCCACTCCCCGAGAGGTGAACACTCTTCAGAGGGGACACTGGCCATGGTGGCACTTGCTGAGGAACCATCCAGTGGGGATGACACTTCACTCCATCTGTTCCAAGTGTCAGCACGTGCTGAACCCTGAGGGTCTGAGCTATCTCGAGCTAGAAAGAGTGTCTGGTTGATTAAATACTGTGCTAAACTTAGGTCTTCAGGAAGAGAACTTGTGACATTTAAGTTTGCGTCTTGTTCAGAGAGCAGCTGTCTCAGGAGTGTCCAGTCCTGTTTTGCAAAGTGCTGATCGTCTTCAGAGTCCCTGTCTATGACATGGATTTCTGATCCCACTTTCTGCTCAAATGCTTCTGTTATATCCACCTCATAGACTGGAGAGAGGGTTTGTGAAGGCCGGTGGTCATACATGCAGGTTTGTGCCAGTGTGCCACAATCCTCTATGTCTCCTGAAATAATTCATAATACTACACAATGTAAAAATTGCACATCGATACCCCTCAGAGTCTTGCAGAACAATATTAACACCATATAACAGTATTAACTCCCCTCAGAAAAACACAACAAGGAAAAAAATAACATTTTTACAAAATTGACAAAATTTTTGAGGCATTTATTTTTCTGTTAAAAAATTCAAGGGTAATGTTTAGCAGCAAAATCAACATAGGTAACTAACAATAATTTTCTACATTTTAGTTTGAAAACTTAGAATACAGAAAATAACATAAATTATTTAAACATAAACATAAAAGTACACACAAATCTACTTCACTACAATAGAAACTCAAGGAGGAAAAAAAGACAGTCATTTGGAGATATCTTAAAAATAACCCGGTTTCAGGGGTGGGGGATAAATACACTGTATCTAAAGGCTTATTTGTATATTGCACATGCAAAGGAGGATGCAAGCCAGGACAAACAAACAAAAACACAACTTTGGAAGACCTCCTGTTCTTACCACTTTACTGAATAGGGATTTCTGGTCAATATTTTTCTTAATTACGATACACAATAGTTACTCAACCAGCTACTATTGCATATTTTAACTCATTAGTCTGAATTATTGAAATAAGGAAGACATAAACACAAAACAATTAGACAAGAAATTATCTTAGCATGTGAAAGAAGACTGGGCCTTTTCATATATTATCATTGCTTCTAAATATAATCTCTTTTAGGAAACTCATCTTTTTGCTTGAAAAATTTAGAATAGAATTATATTGATACTGAAGAAAGTCTTAGTTTCTGTAAAATGCATATAAATTATAATAATTAATCTAGTTAAAATAGTTTAGTGCTTTTCAGTACATACTACTATAGTTATTGCACAGCCCTCTTAGATATATACTAGAAAATTCATAAACATATCCAATGTAAAATAAAACTTCCAACAGCGAAGAATGCTTATATTAAATCAGACACAATAATTGAAATGACACCAAACTAAGTTCCTTTTTTTTTTTCCAGGTAAGATCTAGTATGTTATCTGTGTCTAGTAAACAAGGTTTTCCACTACATACTAATTATTCACTAAGATTGTAAGCAAACAATAAATAATGAACAGCTAGCTCATTTTCATATTATTAATAAATTTAAATTCTCATTTAAAAGCTGGAACTGTAGCTTAAATATTCTAATTAAAATATAACATCCAGGGCTACAGACCACTCTACACTTCTATGAACTTATTTTCCTAAGTGTCTAGCATATCTACTTCTGTACATTACCTGAAAACACAGCATTATTAGCTTTCTTGGGAGCTGTGGAATGGCTCTCTTTCACTTGACCTTCCTGAGGCAGAACTTGGCTCGGATAGGAGTCTAGAGATTTTGTTGAGCTGATCTTTGGTATGCTGGAGCTGAGTTCTCTCTGATGAAGCTCCAGATGACACGGTCTTTCTTGAGATTTCGTGTCACCATCCACGAGCATGCTGTGCTGCTGGAAGTCATTAGCCACCTCACTTCTATTATTTACTTCTTCATCTTCTGGAGAAAGCTGTTGGCTTCCTGTGGATGGAACATCTAACCTGTTCTTTTGGTCTGTTGAGACACTCTGTTTATCTTTTCTTGAAGAGTCTTTGCTACTAGGACCCAGGAGAATGCTTTCATTTTTATATACACTACTGCCTTTATTGTTGTGTTTACAATGTACAGTAGTATCTTCACTTTCTTTTGAAAATCTGGAGTAGCCTGTCCTTCCATGGTGCTCATAAGAAACACCATCAAAAACATCAGAAGGTGAAAGAGAATCTCTAGAGGGTTGGAAGGGGGTGTGAACTTCTCCTTCATCAGACCCCACTTCTTCACATTCGTCTACTGAGAGCAACACCGACCTTCTAAACCTTTTAGTTGCAGAAAACTCACGACTTTCATGTTCAGTCCCATCTTCAAAAGCTAAGTTAATTATTCCCTGAACGTGCTGAGTACCTGAGTTGGACGGGGAGGAATTTTCCCCAGCATTTTCTGCTTCCGATCTTTCATCTTCTGTTTCATCTGCGGAAGAAGAAACCTGGTCCATTTCCTGAGCAAATGGGATAATGCCTCGTGGAATACTTTCTTTTTCCCTGGGATGGATTATCGTGGATCGAGACCAAATTTCTGGCTTTTTCCTGGGAATCTCATCATCACTCGTCGAGTTAATTTGGAAAAGGTCGTTCCCACTTTGCTTTTTCATTTTGACTTCAATTCTTAGGTTAGTGTCATACACTTTCAGTTCTTCTGGGGTGCTGGTATCACTGCTGCTTCTTCCGAGAAAGTCATGGCACAGCACAGTGCCACACTTGGAGATGCCTCTGTCATTGGAGCCCTCGTCATCCTGAGACCCTCCAGCATCATAGTCTTCAGAGCGGGGTTTTATGTCATCCGAGGACGTGGTAGCACTGCCAGTGTCCGATTCTGGGCTCTCTCTCTGATGTGTGGCACTGGTGCGCACATCCCAGGGACCCAGGAATGGAGCTTCTGGAGTTTCATGGCTCTCTGGGGTTTCTGATGTTTCCATATTTTTATAATTTTGTTCTGATGGGTATCCCAAAAGACATCTGGAAGAAACAGCTGAGCTGACTGTAGCACATTTATTGTCCTTGGTAGCAGAGTCATCGTGTAACTGGCTTTGAACTGATGATTTTCTTTCGTCTTGAACAGAGTTTAGGGTACCACTTGTCCCTTCAGGAACACACAGTAAACCTTCTTTCATTTTCACACAGTTCATACTTGGTTTAGGGTCTGTGTTTTTTCTTCCTATTTGTTTCTCTCTATCTGATAGTATATAGATTTGCTCTGCTGAGTCTGAATCACAGACTGGGTTAGAGTTTATGGAGTTTTCATTTGGACTTGAAGTCACAGATCTTAGAGCGGTGATGCTGTGACAATTCAAATTTGCATTGCAATGATTCGAGTCTCTGCAACTGGATGTGTGACTTTGATCTACACTGGTTTGTTTTGGCTTCAGCTCATGTTTTATTGACTCCTCCAGCTTTGAACTACTTCGGCATTCTAGCTGGGGTCTCCTCCTTTCTTGACTGTTTAATGGCTTCTGTGGGTGTGGTCTGCACAGGGACTGGAGTGCTTCTGCACCACTGATCTCAGAAGCCAGGTTAACCAGGGACCTGTGAGACCTCTGTTTAAGAACATGGTTCTTGTCACTGGCATTGGGAAGTATGCATTTCTGTGTGGTGGCTGCTTTGGTTTTGGAAGGTCTCTGAGAAGCCTGAGTTTGCAGCATCCCTTCTCCAGGAAGCACTTTCTGTCTTGAATCTTTGTTACTCAGAGTTCCACCTTTCTTGGACTGACCTGGGTTTTTAGGCATGGGCACCACTTTTGCATTGACCTTCTGCAAAGTTCCATGTCCTTGCCTGACAATTTTCCTCTTAGGTATTTGTTTATCTGCAGCTGGACTGTGCCTCAACTTTGTCACACTTTCATCAGACTGCCGGGAAGACACTGAAGATCTCACAGAGTGTGGGGACTCGCCATGGGATCCTAAGAAAGTTGGAAATGCAAAGTATTCTCAAATTCTGAGTGAAATTCAATGTTTTCAAATCACTTTAGAGGAAATAAATCAATAAAAGCAACCAAAGGGAGACATCTAATACTGACAGACAAGGAATAACGAACAATAAGAAAGTAAAAAAACTTTTCTATTAGTACTTAAAATATAGAGGGACTATTCCAAGACCTTAGTAAAAACCCTTATAGTAGAATCTCTCTTCATCAAGAATTTTTATCATTATTCAAAAATTGAATTTGCGTAAGTGTGTAAGAATAGAAAATCTGGCCGGGCGGTGGTGGCGCACGCCTTTAATCCCAGCACTCGGGAGGCAGAGCCAGGCGGATCTCTGTGAGTTCGAGGCCAGCCTGGGCTACCAAGTGAGTTCCAGGAAAAGGCGCAAAGCTACACAGAGAAACCCTGTCTCGAAAAACCAAAAAAAAAAAAAAAAAAAAAAAAAAAAAAAAAAAAAAAAAAGAATAGAAAATCTGATTTTCTTTTATCAAAGCAGCAAGAAAGGCCCTCTCTCTGAAGTGTTTTTTGGGGGGAGAGGGGAATAAAGACAACACAGCTAAAAATAAGAACCGACCTAAAATAAAATGGACATTTATGCAAATTGTCAGTTTTTCTTCAAACCAGAATAAACTTATACTAGAGGATGACAACTGTTGCTTATCAGGGCTAACGACCCAGATCTGCAATGAGAACCGGACTGTCGGATACAGGAAATGCAGAGTAAAGTTCATTAATTTTTCATTAAAAATCCCATTATGCATTCTGGTTAAAGTCTTAAAAATAAAATTTGGGGCACTCAAATCTGCCAACCCCAATTACCAGCTTTATTTCTGAGTGTGTTTGGGGTGGGGTGGGGTGGGGACTAGACTGGCCAGGGACATGTGAAAGGTAAACAAGTCTTCTGCCGCTGAGCTACCCAGTCCTATGAAGTCATTTATGTCTAATTTCCAGCTAGTACTAGAATATGAGTAATTTCATCTGCTTTAGTTTCCAACTGACTTTCAGTACTAATTCATTATGCAAATAAAGATCATTTTTCTGATTTTAGAACTGCTCTAACGCATGAGTGCTTAATACATAAAAAGCCACTATTTGTGTGTGTGTGCTTGTGTGTGACTATGTGTGCATGTGCATGTGTGTGCATGCCAATGGTCAATCTCAGTTGTTACTCCCTAGGAGCCTCTTAGCAGCACTTGGGGCTCACTGACGAGGCTAGGTTGTCTGGCTGGTTATCGAGCCTCAGAGATCCATCCGTCCATCCTACCTCCCCAGGGCTAAGATTCTAATGGGCTTCATTACACTTGGCTTTTCCCCCTAACCTTTATGTACTGAGACATTCCCTCAGCCCCCTTCCACCTTTCCTCCCCTTCTATGTATTTTGAGATAGTATCTCATGTAGTCCAGGCTGGTTTTGAACTCACTGTATTGATCAAGGATGACTTTAGCTTTATTTCCCCAGTGGAACGACTACAGGTCTGTACCACTAGCCCAGAAAGAAAGAAAGAAAGATTTAAAAATGGTTGCTCTATGCAGATTATGTGACCTAATCAGTATTCTTCTTTCTCAGAACACTGAAAACCACAGCATGGGGACAGGTTCTGCAGGAACTCCCCCAGCTCCTGCTGCTCCTTAAGAACCCTTCAGTGCTTTTCACAGACAGAATTCCTCTAGTCACCAAGGAAACTTCCAAGAAACCTAAGCATCTCCACAAAAGGACCAGAAACACAGATGAGACAATGACTCCTTTAAATGTCTCTCCATGAAGGACAGGAAAACCAAAATCAATCCCCTAACAACAAAATATTTATAGGAAAACCATAAACTTGAACCACGCCCCACTTTGCTCCTCTCTGACTACAGGTCCAGCCAGAGCTTTGCTTGTCTAGCTGACACAGGACCGTACCCAGAATCCTCAGGGCCACTGCAGCTTTACCTTGAATCTGAGTCAGGGTGGGAGGGGCACTCTTTGTCCGTGGCTGAGCTACTGTGTGTCCATTGCTGCTCCCTCTCTTCTTCACAGTTGCCCGTGGTGCTGGGTCATTAAGGCCTTTGCCACTCACCCTTTTTATTACACTGAGGAAAAGGATTGAACTTAGCATTACAGTGATACTCCAACACAGGAACTTACAAACACCGTATACGACCACAGCCACATATGACCACGTATCTTGTCAAGAAATAGAAATATATATCTCTTCTGAAAATAAACCTATGTTCATAAACCTTTAAGTTTTGAAATAGTAGACCATATATGATAAGACAATGCATAACTTCACATGCCATTTAGTATAGCTAGGAAACTTTTACTGCATTGCACCATTTTATATAAATATGAAATAAAGTTTAAAAATATATTTTCACTAATACATTTAAATGAAGAAAAGTTTTTAAGAATGTTCAGTTAGAAGTTAGTTTATAAACAGCAGAGACAGGTGAAGAGTCCTACCTTCCACCTATGTTAGAGTCCTGTTCATGAATGCTTTTTTTATTGGGTGCTCCATTGGTAATTCTTGAAACTGGTCGAGATTTTACAGCTATAAATAAGAAGTATCAGCCATGAGAAAGAGAACATTAAAAATAGTAACAAATTGGATAAATATACAGGTTAGACGCTAAAAATCAAGTGCTGACTGGGGAAAGACCATGTTCTCTCATTTTGCACATATGCATTAAAAACACATTTTATCACTTAAAAGTGATTAAAGCATCCAAGGATCATTCTTTCTGGGAAATTTTAAGTACTGGGACTTACTAACAATCAGGGCTTCAGGGCTGGGGTACAGCTTGTTTAGCAGAGTGCTTGCCTGGCGTGATGGGACGCAACTGTCATCCTAACACCCAGGAGGCAGAGGAGGGAGGACCAGAGTTCAGAGTCATCAGCGACACAGCAAGTTTGAGGCCAGCACGGGCTACCAGAGAGAGCCTAGCTCAAAAAAAACTTCTTGGCGCTTCGAGTTGGTGATGTAGATTGTTTGTGCAGCATGTATAGGGCCATGGGTTCGTTCTCTCTCTCTCTCTCTCACACACACACACAAACACAGAATGTTAACTGAGTGCTGACCCACCTACAGTTGACACAACTCCATTACTCAATGCCTGTCCTGGAGAGTCACTCAAATGCGGCTTCTCGTCAGATGACCTGTCTCCCACCGATCCGTTTTCTTTGGGCTCATCCACACATCCAGTGGAAGTCAGAAGCTCCATACTTGAATCTGCAGATCTACTGGAAGGTCCCACAGTGGTGCGGCATGAAGAATCTTTACTTGCCACTGTTTTCAAAGGCTTGGCTCTGGGTTGCACATTCAGGTTTGCAGTGAGGACCTTGGGCCTGGCCCCCGTGGTCTGCGCTTCTTGGCGCCTTACTCCTTTCCCATGCACCGAGTCCTTCTGTCCATCTGCTGCCACTCTTGCTGGTCTTTCTACAACTTTGGATGACAGATCTTCCAACTTGGTGTTATCACTGTTTTCTATCTGGGGCTTTATTATAGTTTTAGACTTGCCAGAAACATTTTTCCCCTCAGTTTTCAATTCTTTTGTAACTTTGGATATTTTTGTATTATCATCATGCTTGAATGCTTTATTTACACTATTTCTGTTAGTGCTGGATGTATGTCCAGCTGCTCCTAACCCATCAGATTTCATCTTCTGATTAGTAGAGAGATATGTTCGACACGGTGTTTTGTTATTTTCTGTCCAGGGTCTTTTTTTTATAACATCAACTTCAGAACCTTGTCTCCTTTGCTAAAAGAAAAAGAGAAAAATCTTATAAATTGACAAGTCTTTGATATAGAATACTTTATGTTTCAATAAAGTTTTGGTTTTGTTATTGTTATTTATTGAGACAGTGTCTAACTATATAGCTCTGGCTGGCCTGGAACTCGTTCTGTAGATCAGGCTGGCCTTGAACTCACAGAGATCTACCTGCCTCTGCCTCCCAGTGCTGGGATTAAAGGTGTGCACCATGATACATGGCTTCAGTGAAGTTTTCATAAGGAACAATTTAGTAAAGCTCACATTAAGCTAGGCAAGCGCTCTCCCAAGGAACGGCACAGCTCTGGCTCTTAAATCCCTGTGAGGATTTAGGATCACTCAAAATGTTTTTTACATCATTTTTTTTCAATCATTTTTCATTAAAAACTTTAGGTTTCTAACTATATTACCTCAATCAAATCTGAAACGCAGTACTAAATGTTTATTTAATTTGTGGTGTTACAATAGAAATTAATCCCCGAAGACTCAGGCTATCCTGAGTAAGTAACACTTGAGAGTTTCTGAAGCCCATTGTCAGGGTCCATGTTAACATTTTTATCTATCATTTCACTTTCATCCTTAAAAGCAACCCTGTGAAATAGCTCCTGTGGCTATCTTCATTTGTTGGATTAAGAAATTAGGTATGAAAGCAGACATGTGGCTGGGTGGTGGTGGCGCACGCCTTTAATCCCAGCACTTGGGAGGCAGAGGCAGGCAGATCTTTGTGAGTTCGAGGCCAGCCTGGTCTACAGAGCGAGATCCAGGAAAGGCACAAAGCTACACAGAGAAACCCTGTCTCGAAAAACAAAACAAAACAAAAAACAAAACAAAGCAGACATGTGACTTACCCAAGGTCACATGCCTGGAAAGGACAGAATTGGGACTTGAGCTCATGATTTATTGTTATTAGGATGTAGTCATCTAAATGGTATCATCAAGGGACATTATAAAAATTTTCACTAAAAATTCTTCAACTTAATGCCAGGAAGAGAGTAGGTTTAAAAAAAAAAATCCTAGATGGTCATACAGTACTAGCCATCTATAGTCTGTGGAGGAAAAGACATCCTGAGAACAGCTGAAAAGGAGGAGAACCCAAGGCACAGAGAAGACTACTCAACCATTCTCTGGCCTGACCTCGACAGGGAAGGGAACAGCAACAACCTCAAAGATGGTGGGAATTTTAGAATAAAATATTGTAAAAACATCAACATATGTAAACAATGCTGATTTTTTCCCCTTGGCAAAGCTGAATGAGACTGTAGGCAGAGCTTATATTGTCTTTATCTTTTATAATTAAACCCCCTTTATATTCCACAACATACTGGCGGGGTCCAAGAATGTTTGTAACTGCTGTTAAAATAAGCATGTAGTGCCGGGCGGTGGTGGCGCACGCCTTTAATCCCAGCACTCGGGAGGCAGAGGCAGGAGGATCTCTGTGAGTTCGAGGCCAGCCTGGTCTACAGAGTGAGATCCAGGAACGGCGCAAAGCTACACAGAGAAACCCTGTCTCGAAAAACCAAAAAAAAAAAAAAAAAAAAATAAGCATGTAGTGATATATCATTCAAGGCTTAATTTCTAAATATATAAAGGCTCTGTATATGAGAAAATGGAAATACTTGGACAACACACATGTATATGCATACATGTATATGTATAAAGAGTAAATAAAGGCTAAATCTAGGAAAAAGCCAGGTGTAGTGATAATGGAATCAGTAGGTTATTGTCTCAGCTTTGGCTTACTGGGCCTGGGATATTTTGGAAATTTTAAGCATATTTTGGCTTTTATTATGTCTATCTGTAGAGTGGAGAATGGTTTTCTTCAGAACAGTGTTCCAGAATTCTAACTGTTGTAAACTTTTCTTCATTTCTTATTTTCTTGACCAAGTCTTAACATGAAACATAATATTCCTCCCCGCCTCTGTTTTTCAAGACAGGGTTTCACTGTGTAGCCCTGGTTGTCCAGGAACTCACTGTGTAGACCATGCTGGCCTCAAATGCACAGAGATCCACCTGATTCTGCTTCCCGAGTGCTGGGATTTAAGGCACACACCACCGTGCCTGGCAGATTTCTCTATTTTTATTTTTTATTTTATTTATTATTATTATTATTATTATTATTTTTTGGTTTTTTTGAGACAGAGTTTCTCTGTGTAGCTTTGCGCCTTTTCCTGGAGCTCGCTCTGTAGACCAGGCTGGCCTCGAACTCACAAAGATCCACCTGCCTCTGCCTCCCAAGTGCTGGAATTAAAGGCGTGTGCCACCACCGCCCGACTGATTTCTCTATTTTTAACACTGACAGCTTAGCATGCTTTGCCGTAAGGCCTCTTCCCCATGCTTAATTAAAACTGATCCCACTTAGCTCAGTGTACCATTATCTCTGTGAACTTTGAACTGTTATGCTGTGGGTAAATTTATGTATTACATGAGATAAATATATCCTTTAGAAATTTCACATTAATATCATATAGCACGATAAGGATTCAGTTCTATACGTCTCTAGGCAGCCTTAAGAATTATGTCTGCAAAGTTTACACACATTTTTATAAATGCACAGCCAACTGGAGGTGGTCACCAGTTTACTGACAAAAGTGAAAAAGGCGGACCCGTCTTCTCAAAGGAGACCTACTTCCGTTCCACATCTTTTCTACTTTAGTGGTACTTCAGACTTCTTTTGAGACAAGGTTTTTCTGTGTTGGCCATGAACTCACAATTCTCCTGCCTCAGTCTCCCTAGTGTTGGGATTACTAACTTAGACTACAATGCCCAGCTTATAAACAAACTCACAAGACAGAACAGTATGAGTCACTATGTATCTAATATCCAGCAGTAATAATTACCAATTCATATTTTGTTTGTACCCACCCCCATTTTATTTTGAAACAAGCAACAACAATTAGAGTTTGTTCTATTTTGCTGGCTCAGCAGCAGGACAAGGCCTAGCACACCACAGGGTAGATTTCCAGCACTGCAAAGAAACCAAACCAGACAAACAAAACCTAGTCAAAGAAGCTGGGGAAAGTACACAGAAAAACGAACAAGCAAGAGCGGGTTGTGAGGGGGCACAGAACACACTCAGCAAGGCTGGGAAGTCAGGCTCCCACGCTCACAGAACGGAAATTTTAGGTGAGCAGGAGAGTTCAAAAGTGTTTTTTGTTTGTTTTTTTTTGTTTGAAGACAGGTTTTCATTAGCCAAGCTGGTTTCGGACTACATCCATTTCCCAGGGCTGGGACTGGAGGAGTGCACCAATACTCTTGGCTCTGAGGGGGCTGCAGTGTGCAATTCTCATTAGACGCTGGGGAATGTGGGGTGCAATTCTCAATTTATTAGACGCTGGGGAATGTGGGGTGCAATTCTCAATTTATTAGACGCTGGGGAATGTGAGGTGTAATTCTCAATTTATTAGATGCTGGGGGCTCAGGTCGTGATGCACAGCAGAATATGAAACACTCCAGAAAGCAATCCCAGGAGGTTTGCTGACAAACCCCCATGTCCCAGTTTCCAATCAGAGATATTTAGGGGGTTATATCACGGCTGCAGAAGTAGTAGTTCCTACCTACTGGGTTATAAGGAAGAAAACAGTATTCCCCATCTAATTTTCAACGGAAATATGTTTTTTACATTCTAAATTAGAATGCTAAATGAATAGTCCATATTATCACTGGAATATGCACAGTCTCATTTTGTACTTACATATTTTATTGATTACATGAATATCTGTATAATATAATACCATTTGGAAGGAAGAAAAATACATTTCAGGCTATAATAAAATCACCAAATAATTTTTTTAAAAAGGAAAAATAGCAAAATTGCCATTTTAATGTTTTAAGAATGGGGTGCAGTCAGGTTACTCTGACGATTACACAGGAAGTCTCTAGAACCTTGTCATGTTCTGGTTAACAGGAAGGCAGTCTAAAAGCAGAAATCAAACAGGATCATAGATGTCTAAACAACTCCTGGTTTACTGGAACAGCTCCAGTATGTTAATTTGCCAAAAAAATTTTCCAGGAAATGAAAAAGGCACATATTTCCTATACCAAATGAATATTAGAAATTTACATAATTTAAAATGTATATATTAAATGCTTAGTTGATTTTTTTACACTCAAAATTACTTCCTCTTAAAAATAGCTTTAATTAATAAAAGATTTATTTTGAAATATAAAATAATAAATGTAAATAGCTTTCTCACTGAGACCCGTACAGTGCTGGATGTTTACCTGAGAACTGGTGAGCACAGGCTTTCTGCCAAGTCTTCGGTCATCACCTTTGTCAAATGCAGCTGTGGAAAAAAAACAAGCAATTTGTTTTTATCAGAAACATTATTATTACCAGAGAAGCCCAGGAAAAATAGAATGCCAGGAGAAAATGTTAGATTTTGATAGATATTAAAAAAAAAAACCAACTTGAAAGCAAACCAGTACACAAAACAATTTATATCACATTTTAGAATAAAGAACCTATTCTTCAATCTTATTCTCTGATCCAGAAAATTTTGTTTTTAAAGTTAATAAATGAAAATGTAAAATCATATACATTCATTTTAAAATAGAATTTTAACAAACTATAAATTTTTGAATATCTGGTTTCATTTAGTTTCTAAATTAAAAAATAATATTTTACACATAATTTAATATGAGAAAATATGCAATACTATAAAAATATTTTGCTGAAATTAAAAATATTTTCTGGTTTACAGACTGATTACAATGGTGGAAAGAGAAGAGAAACATGTGTAGTTCTGAGAACGCAGCAGGAGACAATCCTGTAACTCATCCATCCTCACTGGAGCTAAACAAAAATTCACTTTGTAAGGTTATGTGGGAATTACTGGGGGCCTCATGCTCGGCACCAGGAAAATGCAGAGAAAGAGTCTGAGGGCGAGGGCTAACGTCCAGCTTGGATTTCCAAGGTTTACAGGGCTTGAGGTTTTACTATGAAGGAATGTATTGGCACATACAATTTCTCAAATGTATTTATTTTTAGTAAACAGCTATCGAGCATCTTCTACAATGTCTGTTCCACAGGATGCACGCTACACAACAGAGCAAAGACGGGTCTGCAGCAATCCAATGACCACACAATAATACACAGAAAATAAAGAATTCTCCCATCAGTAACTCAGCAAGAGAACGTTAGAACAAAGATGAGCCACAACAGTAACCACACACAGGTCAGGCTGCACTACACCTCAACCACTTAAAATTCAAGATTACCCTGATGCAAGGAAACACAATGAGAGGTTCATATGATAATTAACTGCATGACCACAGACAATTTGTCTACGTATGTATATGAGTATGTGTAAACTTACTCAGATTTCTAATTAGTACTATAAAGAACACTGAAATTCAACTTAGTTGTGAAATCCTCTAAAAAAGAGAAAAACAAAGTTTGCTACCAATCAGAAGCGAGCTCACAGGACACCCACTGATGGGACGCTCATCTTTGCGTCTTCACATTGCAGATTTTGAAAGCTAATGTCTAAAATTCAGCACAGAAAAGTCACAAGGAAAAAGTGTTCAATTTCTAAAGGTTTGATGATTTTTATTACATGAAAAAAATTATCTTTGAAAATTGCTCTTTAAATTACATCTAGTTGCTTTAGTAAGCAGGTCTCAACATAAATATATCACTTAAGAATTTTATATAGCTGAGATATATTTTATCATACACAGCTTCCATGTTTTAGAACACTAAAATGTCTGTTCCATAAAATATAGTCTTTTACCTTAATGTCAAAATAAATAAATAAATAAAAACGTAGAGCTGCTAACATGCCAGTGTGATTTCTGAGGCACCTGCTTTAACCTAAAAATAGTCATGAAGCCATTTTAGTTCCACACCCTTAAAATTCTATTTCAATACTTTTTAAACACACACACTTTCTGATAGATGTACATCTTTTGTTTAATGCTAATGCTTCAAACCGTAACTAGTAAATGTCAGAGATCGCTGTGCGGCACCCGAGGGACCCTCCGCAGCAGCACACACTGCGTCCCTGAACCAGTCACTCGTGAAATAAAGCCATGTAATCTCAGCAAAACCACAAGAAAGGTTCTTATGAGAAAGATGGGAACCTTCATGGTGAAATATGTTTTCATAGGGGAGAGAGTATGCTTGGTGATCTGACTGTACAGATTATGTCCTTTTACACATCTAAGCTCTTCACAAGGATTTTCTTTTTTTTTTTAGCAAATTTGGCTAAAAAATATGAGGATTAAAAATTGATAATTACATACGTTTTCTAAGAACAGCAGATAAAGCATGGTTTCTCAAAGCAGCCTAATACATCATCACTAGTTTTGGGTGGCACTCCATTACTGAACAGAAGCTCACAAATGCTAATTAACCAGAATTCAGAATGCCTTCAAAATATCTGCTCTCACAAAGATGACAACAAGAAACTTCGAAGATTAACATACCTGCTTGGATTTTCTGCTGGTCATCTATGTGCATCAGTTTCCAGCCTTCTGTGTGACGAACAGCATAGAAAGACTGAACCAGGAAGGTCCACAGCTTATCACGCACAGCTTGGGTCTTGCACGTAAAGCCCTGTGTTCCAGCAACAAATCAGCAGCTGGTGAGAGCCACATTGTCATAGCAACCAGTCATTATTCCTTTCCGAATCTACTTACTCCTAAGCTAGATCAATGATGTCATCAGTTACATTTCTAAGATTATCGAGCGCATGCTATTTATGAAGGCTCACTCATTAACAGAATTTTACAGTGAACACGAAGCTGAATGCTACTCTTGAAACATTATTTTAAAATAGCAATGGGCTTTATACGAACACCTTCCACAACCTTTCACATCAACTATGACATGACAAGGTCAAATACTTTATGTGATAATAATAAATTTGATGAAACATTTTATCATTCTTGTAGAATAAAAATGCAATAATTAGTAATTATCTATTGTCACTGATTAATTGCATTTAAAAAGAACTGATATTTAAATTTTTCATTTTTCCTACTCAATCTAATTTAAAAATAAGGTTTGTTTTGAGAAAAAAGGAATTACTAATACCATAAAATAAAAGGCACTAATGATGAAAAATACTAAAATATACATTTTATACGTATAAGTTTATTATAATTATCAGAGAAAAATACCAAAGTTACATTGTGCCAGATAATTGCTAAGTCCCAAGCTGTGCTTAGAATTAAGGATCCAAACTGCCTAATTCTAAACTTTAATAAAAAGTTAATTAGAAAGCAAACATAATTGAAAAAAAAATTTTTATTAGGAAATATTCCAAATAGATACAAGAAACTGTATCAAGTCCCAAGGTGTCCAGTACCTGACTACAATGACCCGTGCAACATTCAAACTGTTTACAATATTACATATTTAATGAACTTTGTTATATTCAGTACCATTTCCTTTGTACTTTCAGAATTCAGTAACGTGTCCAGAGCCATAAGGAGGGAGCAACTATTTTCAGTGGTAATATTGTCTTCAATTGCTTTAAAAATTTTGTCCAACAGATGAGCTGTGCTGCTCATTGCTTGTGACTACAAAACACAGAATTTGACATTTAATGAAATACATGTAAAATATACAAGAAATGTTAAAGTCTAGTGTAACAGCAGTACAACTGTCACGGCTGGGTACATAACATCACCTGAAAACACATCTGCTTTTCCTTTTCTGTTCGAAGACTCCATGAGCATGCGCCACCCCCTCCATACACACACACGAGATACATGCACAGACACACACGTGCACACAGGCACATGAATGCACGTACACAAACGCACACACACATACACGCACACACAAGAGACGTGCAGACACACACACACATGCATGCCTGTACACACACACAGAGACACACAGACACACACAAACGCACACATGCACACGTGTGCACACAGAGTTTTCAGGAGCTAATATAGCCTAATAATTGAACCTAGAAATAAAGACAACATCTTTATTCAGTGACTAATTTTAGAGAAAGTAGTTCCTTATGAAAACAGAGTTTTAGAGAACCACCATCTTTACAACTTGGGTCTCTAAAATGTGCTCATGGTTGGCGTCCAACGTGGTGGCAAGAGTTTCCACCTAAAAACTGAGAAAAGATTCTAAAACGGAGCTAAAAACAGTTCCTAATTGTCTCTCTCAAATGAGCGGCAGCTGCCGGTTTGAGCTACTTGTGGGTTCCTAGCGTGTGCGCTCGACCTGCAGTATGGCGGGAATGAGGCCTCTGCAAGTGGCACATTAAGCTGCATGGTAGATTTAGCCTTTGCTAGTACAAAACAAAAAAAGAGGTTTCTGGGCTACACGCTGCTTGGATAAAAGCATAGACCTACGATAGCTCCCAGAGCTGGTGGTAAAGTACCACGCCATGTTGGGAAGCTGAGGTGGGCGGAGCCAGCAGCCACAGCTGCTGCAGCTTAAAGCAATAGATTCACAATAAGACAGATTCAAATGTAATAGTTTACAATGTGTGTAAAATATACGTAGGCTTGAAAGAGACAAAAAAAGTGATATATACAGTTATATAAACAAATACATAGTTTTAAAAAATAAAGTCTTTAAAGAGACAGTAAAATTAATATAAAAAATAAGCCACGTGAAGATGAATATTCCACAGAGAATCTGGACTGTGTTGTCTTTGGGATTTTTAACTGCAGAAAAACATTTGATTGTAAAAGCTGTTGAGTTATGCCAAAATGTATTTTTTTTTTTTTTTTTTTTTGGTTTTTCGAGACAGGGTTTCTCTGTGTAGCTTTACGCCTTTTCCTGGAACTCACTTGGTAGCCCAGGCTGGCCTCGAACTCACAGAGATCCGCCTGGCTCTGCCTCCCGAATGCTGGGATTAAAGGCGTGCGCCACCACCGCCCGGCAAAATGTATATTTTAAAGGTACCTTGACTTCAAAATTTGGATATAAGGATATGTTGCTTTGGAAAGGAGATTCTGCTTTTGTTCCCACAGAAAGCCAGAGGCTATGGATTTGTTCCAGATTAAGATACATCAGGTTTGACCAGCCAAGACCCCCTGAAAGGTGACACCAAGGCCCAGATGATCCAACATCCAGAATGGTTTCAAGGCAACTGGTTTAGACGATACAGCCTCATTGACTACTCCATGATCCTAAAATTTTGTTTCCCCAGAAGATACAGCGCCCCCTCCAGCAGGAAGTAGTAAGAGAAGCTACCCCCAAATTCCCAAATATACCAAGCTGACTTTGGAGATGTGTAAAGGTTAAAACCTTCCTTTTTAAGAAAAGAAAAGGGGAAGTGCTGTGGGATGGTCTGTATGTCAAATGTGTTGCTGATTAGTCATTAAATAAATCACTGATTGGCCAGTGGCTAGGCAGGAAGTATAGGCGGGACAAGGAGGAGAATAAAGCTGGGAAGTAGAAGGCTGAGTCAGAGAGACACTGCCAGCCGCCACGATGACAAACAGCATGTAAAGATGCCGGTAAGCCACGAGCCATGTGGCAAGGTATAGATTAATGGAAATGAATTAATTTAAGCTGTAAGAACAGTTAGCAAGAAGCCTGCCACGGCCATACAGTTTGTAACCAATATAAGTCTCTGTGTTTACTTGATCGGGTTTGAGTGGCTTGGGACTGGCAGGTGAGAGAGATTTGTCCTGACTGTGGGCCAGGCAGGAAAACTCTAGCTACACATGGTGACCAAGGAACAGAGCTGGCCCAAGTGACAATGTGCCTTGCCAGGGCACTCAAACCTGTCCCTCCTGCTTTCTCATCTGTGAGCCAAAAATCCTGTCCACCATGCTCCAAATCTGTTGCAAACATGCCATCTGCTGTGGAATTTACTTGTCAGAATATTTTAATCAAAGGCAACCTGACTTTAAAAACACTTATGTAATTAAAACCAGAACACCAAGATGGGGCTGAGTAGAACACAGCCTCTGGACACAGTACCTGTAAGAGCAAAGTGAAATTTTCACTCTCAATGATCTTTGAGAAGTTTTCTACAATAAATGCCACACACTCTTCTTGCAGCTGGGACGCCATCGACAATGCTGCTTCTGTCCACTTCACTCTGGGTAAACCCATGATTAGCTTGTCACTTTCCATCAGAAGAAAAGCAGCATTCCTGTGATTCTATAATTTGAAAAACATTTGGAAAAATTGGGTAGTATTACTATTCATAAAATAACTTCGTAAGCAAATCAAATCATTCTCATAGGGATGTTCCCTATGAGAAACACAATCCAAGGTAGCTATTATCTTTGCCCCATCTATAGAGGACTATGTGGAGTGGGTCCAGCAGCAGCTTGGCCAACAGCTCCTTGTAGCAACAGGAGCCATCTTAAGAGAATATCAGCGAAGGGTCAGCCAGTCAACCCCATCATTTTAGAAATAACCAATTATAGCTTTAGCCGTTCAGTTGTGAGATGGGTTTCTTACACAGCAATGAAATGGAAAACCGAGTACTTAACATGGATGCTGGACATTCTTTAATTACTGAGGACCGGCTTCTGCTGTGGGATGTTCTGTATGGCAAATGTGTTGCTGATTAGTCAATAAATAAAACACTGATTGGCCATTGGCTAGGCGGGAAGTGTAGGCGGGGCAAGGAGGAGAATAAAGCTGGGAAGTGGAAGGCTGAGTCAGAGAGACACTGCCAGCCACCACAATGAGAAACAGCATGTGAAGATGCCGGTAAGCCACGAGCCATGTGGCAAGGTACAGATTAATGGAAATGGATTAATTTAAGCTGTAAGAGCAGTTGGCAAGAAGCCTGCCATGGCCATACAGTTTGTGGGCAATGTAGGTCTCTGTGTTTTCTTGGTCGGGTCTGAGCGGCTGTGGGACTGGCAGGTGATTTGTCCTGACTGTGGACCAGGCAGGAAAACTCTAGCTACAGGCTTCCCTGATCCTTACACCTTTACCACATACTTTTTGTACATGCTATCAGAAAACTTGTCCCTTTTCTTTAAAGCACTTAATTCAGATAAGATTATTTAAATATGAACATAACATCTGTACTATATGTTCAACATCTGGTTTTGCTTACTGCTGTACTGTAGGGCCTACTACAGAATGGGTCAATACAGAAACTCTATGTTCATTAGGTTTTTACTATTCTCAGCCTTAAACAGGATACCCAAACCACCTACTCCAAGGCTCACGGTACATCACTCAAGAGGGGGTAGAAAGAATGTGAGAGCTGCATGGCCATGGTACTAATAAATTCACAGCAGCTATGGCTGCTACAAGAATCCAACAAAGCTGGACCCATAAATATTCAGTCATAGATAGGGGAGGGGCTCATGGGGCCCAACCTGCCCAGGGGAGGAACTGGCAGTCCAAGGCTGCTGGAAGAGAGGAAGTCATTGTCTTCATTGAGTTACTCATGCTTCAGGACCATGTCTACACAGTTAACCCTGGGTAAACCCAGTGGGTTGCCAGGTAAAAACAAAAACAAACAGAAGGACATGAAACTGGGATGAACTTGGTGAGGAGGACCACCAGTGGGGGGGTGGGTACGAATATGACCTGAATGCATTACATACTTGTTTGAAATTGTCAAGAAATAAATTAACAAAATAAATACACAGACAGTCCTCTACTTATCTACATGGTTCCCAATGTTTTATTGTTATGTAATAATGAGTTACCTTGCATGTAATAATATTTTATACATATGTAAATAGAGATATAGGATACATTCCTAGAAATAGAGTTGATAGGTCAATACTACTTGTCTTGGATTCTACTAAAGACTGAGACTGAGAACTAGATCACCAGGAAGGAAGTGACCTCAAGGTCACCTGAACTACGATGAGGAAAGCTGGACACATTTACTAGCTACTTGTTATTCAGTGTGTGACCTGTGACACTGTATTAGCCAGAGCTTATTAGAAATACAGAATCCCTGGCTCTTCCTTTGACTTAGCGAGCTAAAGTCCACACACTTAAAATTTGTAAGTGCTTTTTATGGATTTAAAGTTTGAGAAGCACTGGTAGTCTACTGGTATATTCACGGTGGGAATGACTGGGGCTCACCTCTGTTCAGGATTTCTGAAGAATCTCTCACCTTGGGGCTCAGCAGAAAGCCAACAAAACAAAACAAACAAAAGTTCTCAGCATCTCCTGGAGAGAGACTGCGAACCTGAAGTCCTAATTCCGATGAAGGTCTTGACTGTTAACCTAACCTTTCCCTGTATGACAATGGGGTCTACCACCCCCTAGTCAACTGAGGGCCATCAGAACACAGACCACAGATATGTTAGCACTGCTAGCTTACATCTGGCTACCATAGGCTCTCTTAGAAGTTGGACAGTGTTCAGTGATTCAACTTTCTGGGGTGATGTCAGTCTCAATGACTCAGAACACTAATGGGAGTTAGTGCAGGACGCATGCCTGGGCTCACTAGGAACAAAGAAACAGGAGACTAGCAAAAGACTTGAGAAGATCACAACTTGATGGGCTGATCAGTCTCTCCAGCAGGAGGCCACTCCCCGAAGACCAGAAAAGGTGGCTGCTTTTTCTAACACAATAGAAAGTCAAGCTTGTCTAATATGCAGACACTAACACAGAATTAAGAGAAATGAAAAAAATCAACAAAGTAAGTTCTAAACAAAAAGCAAGGTGGGTCTCCAGAAACCAGTCTACACTAAATGAAGAACAGGCAGCTGAGATGCTGCAGTCACTTCCAGACCACACAAGAGTAAGCACCGTGGAAAAGCCAGTCAGTCACCCTAGAAGGCACTGTCGTACCTCACAGTAAGAAGAGCCTAATTTCTGTTCTTAAGAACATGGAAACCTTATACTGCAGTGCAGTTTAGTAAGTACACAATGGCATCACACCTAAAGAAATGCACATATCATAAAGATCTGTACTACTGAGGAGCCAGTGAGCACCTGCGACTTTGTGAGTCAGAATCTTTTCTGGTAGAACCTTGTCTCAAGGCTGACGGCTGCTGACTCATCAAGACAGTGTCTGAGGAAGACTGGGGAGACTGCTAAGTCCTTAAAATAAGACGAAAATGAGGTTTGCCACACTAGCTTCTCCTTCCAAGAGATTTCTCTGTAGAATGTGATGCTGTTTCACCTACAAATACTTTACATTTAACCACAGAACTTTTAACCTTTGAGTCAATACTCTCAAACCCTGAGAGGAAGAACTAGCATCTCATGGGGATGAGTCCCCTAACTGGTTATCTAATAAAAAGTGATCAGCCCTGAAATCATATATACAAACCGCACTAAATGGACTCAGGAGGTTGTGTGTGTGTGTGTGTGTGTGTGTGTATATATGCATCATTTACATATGATGCACTTATGCATCTCTAACCCCCCCCTCTCCCCACCACCCCATATATGTGTGTGTAACAATAATCAAAGAGGCCATCAATTTGAGAAGGGGTGAGGAATAGGGGACATTGGAGCAGTAAGGAAGAAACATTGGAGAGGCTGGGGAGAGGGAGGGGTGGGGAGAGGGAACATGGGAGGGGCTGGGAGAGGGAATATGGGAGGGGTTGAGGGAGGACAGAGAAGGAAGTGAGGCAATTATATTTTAATTAAGAAAATTTTAACAAACAAAACACTCTGTCCCTTTCTTACCAACAACATTTACGTACCATTTGAACGCTCTATCATTCTAACACTGTTCACAGCATCTGTTCTAGTAGATTCCACCTTAAAAACTGACTTTCAGGACTGGGCATGGTGGTGCACACATCTTTAATCCAAACATTCATGAAGCAGAGGCAGGCAGATTTCTGAGTTTGAGGCTAGCCTGGTCTACATAAGGAGTTCCAGGACAGCCAGGGCTGTTACACAGAAAAACCCTGGCTTGACCCCCCGCCCCCCGCCAAAAAAAAAAGAACCAACTTTCTTTGTTCATCTTAAAAATAAGCAGCGGCTACTCATTCATGAAAGTAGCATCAAGAGGTTGTAGCAATTCAGCCACTTTTCTAGACTTGATTTTTAATTTCATTTCTCTTACTATTTCTACTACATCTTCATTTATTTCCTTCACTGAGTTTTAAATCCTCCAAATCATTCAACCAGAAGGATTAGAGTATGTTTCTTCCAAATGTCTGCTAAAGCTGTGTGTATGTGCGAGTTGTGTGTGAGAGAGAAAAAGAGAGAGACACACATTCAGGTACACATACACAATAAATCTTAAAAAAAACAATAAAAAGATAAGCAGCAATGCTTATGTTAAAAACACAGTGGTGTGCTGAAATGACAGCTTTTTAGTGTGGGTCCTGGGACTCAAACTCAGGTCATTGTAATTATGCGGCAAACGTTTTACTAGCTGAACCATGTCCCCGGGACTCTGAATACTCTTAATGGCATCTAGACTGAGAAATGCTTTCCAAGTATGTTCCAAAGTCCTTTGCCTAGCCAGATGCATCAGAGGGTCACTATGTGTGGAAGCATGGTGTTATAAACCATACTTCTGAAACAGTAACACTTGAAAATAGAAATTACTCTTTGATTCTGGACCACAGAATGGATTCTGGGTTAGCAAGTATAAAACACTAATCCATCACACATCTCCATGAGAGCTTTTGGGTGAACAAGTACCAAGTACATAGTCAATGAGTAGTATTCTGGAAGGAGTATTTTCCTTTTTTTTTTTAAAAAAAAGATGTTTATTTATTTATTATGTATACAGAAGAGGGCGCCAGATCTCATTACAGATGGTTGTGAGCCACCATGCGGTTGCTGGGAATTGAACTCAGGACCTCTGGAAGAGCAGTTGGTGCTCTTAACCTCTGAGCCATCTCTCCAGCCCCTTTTCCTTCTTTTTTAAGGAAGAAGTCACTACAGTGAATTTAAAATAGTCATCAAATTATGCCACGAACAGACACTACTTCAGACTTTGTTGTTCCATTTACAGAGTGCAGGCTGCATGGGTTTGGTATAATTCTTAAGGGCCCCCAAATTTTCAGAATGGTCAACACAAGCATTAGTTTAGAGTAATCAGAGCATGAGTCCCTAACATGAGAATCAGAAAGTCATTTGATGCTTGTGGAATCCTAGATGACATCTTCTTCCAGCACAAAGCTGTGTAATCTGAACTGAAAACTGTTGATGTGGTCACCAACCAAGCATCTTAGCTAGGTCTTCTGGGTAATTTCCTAATAAGGCTCTGGCCCAGCAGCCTCTGCACCAGCAGCAAAGCTGTTTTGCTTCCTATAGCAGCATTTTACATTTCCTTATTAACTTGTCCTTTGCATCCATAACTTGGCTGCCTGGTCCAACAGGCCTGGGTTTCAGTTCCTCTTTTGTTGTTGTTTATTTCAATTCTGTTTCTGAGATAGCGTGCTGCTATGTAATTCAGGCTGGTCTCAAATGCTCAAGTGCTGGAGTTGCAGACATATACCATACACCAAGGCACCAAGGCTGTCTCGGCTTTCTTTTGACATGCTTTCTTCGAAACCCAGGCTAATCATTTCTAGCTTTTGACTTAAAGTGAGAGATCTGTGACCTTTCATTTCATTTTGATACTTATACCCATTGTAAGGTTATGAATAGGCCTATAGAATAAAAATACAATTGTAAAGAAGAAGGAGCAGCATGGTTTGATGGGCTTATTCTTCAATTCAACTCAGCTACCACTTATGAAAAATCAAAATGAAACCCATTACAAGACATTTGATTCAGTTAACACCTCCTCCAGTGTGGGTGTTAACAGATCTGCATCAGGCTCATCTCCTCTATTCCAGACGCAGCACCGTGGAGACCCGTCAGCAATCCCCCAACCTACTTCTCTAGTTTGAATCTGTTCTCTATCCCCTGGCTCAAACCACCCCTCTTCCTCCAGCCACATTTACTTTAGTCTCTGCGGTCTCACACACACACTCATTCATTCACCTATCTGACAATATACCAAGTACCTAATATATGCTGGGTACTATTTTAAGGCTGGGTCTAAATTTTAAACAAAATTGACATGACCCTAGACACTAGTATCTTTCGAATGGCAGCAATATATTTTAAACCTTCTTTGTCATTTACTGATGTAAACATAAAAGAAAACATCCCGACCATTCTTTTCTCGTCTATGAAACAGATAAAACAGTACCTGTCTTATACTAACTTTCACAAAAATAACAATATATGAACTCTAAGTGTCTGATAAAAACACTCCACTACTTAGGGGTACTACTTGTAGTTAGCAGTAAATAATGTTTCTATTGAACCGAATTACAGCTGGAGTAACTCCCTTCATGACTGGGAGTAACTACTCAACAATGAAGAAAACTAACACAAAAACAGTGACAAGTGACAAAGCCCTTTATTAGTTGAAGCTCGACATTCAGAGTCCATGAGTGGCACCTCATGGGCTACACTTGTTTTCCCAGTTAGATTTAGTCACCTGTGCCACCCAGGCTCATGTTATCATTTAACCATGAATAAATCACAGGAGCAGGGCTGCCTAGAAGTGTATGAGAGACAGACAGACAGAGACAGAGAGACAGAGAGAGACAGAGAGAGAGACAGACAGACAGAGAGACAGAGAGACAGACAGACGAGAGAGAGAGGGCGGGGGAGAGGGAGAGAGAGGGAGAGGGAGAGAGAGAGGGAGAGGGAGAGGGGGGGGGAGGGAGAGAGAGAGGGAGAGGGAGAGAGAGAGGGAAGAGACACTCCTTGTCTAAGGAAAGAGAGGCTGAAGGAGGGGACAGCTGCAGGCTCTTCAGTGTCAACAAAATGATTCAGCAAATATGCAGCAAATTGTGAAGCCAACAGCAACAGCATCTGCCTTTACCACATCTTCTCTAAATCTCACTCCACACTGCTTGAGCAGGCTAGTTTTATGTCGACCAGACACAGGCTAGCATCATTCTGCAAGAGGAAACTTCAATTAAGAAAATTCCCAGACCAGATAGGCCTGTGGTACGTTTTCTTGATTGCTAATTGTGTGGGAGGGGCCATCTCTGGGCCGGTGGTCCTGGTGCTATAGGAAAGCAGGCTGAGCAAGCTATGGAGAGCAGGCCAGCAAGCAGCACCCTCCATGGCCTCTGCATCAGCTCCTGCCTTGAGCTCCTGCCCTGACTTTCCTCAGTGATGGACTGCTGTCTAGAAAGGTCCTTCCTAAATTGGTTTTGGTTATGATGTTTTATCACAGCAATAGACAACTAACAAAAACCCCAATTTCGTGGTCACTCTAACTGGATATGGACACAGAAGGAAGCTCAGGATGTAGACTTTGTCACTGCCGGGCAAATGTTACACCACCATACAACCAAACCCTGTCAACCTGGGACCTGAATGTAACTGCGAACTGTGCTTTGCTCCCTAATGGAAAGAATAAGTCATGCTGTTCCCTAAAATGACACAGGTGTCACTCACCATACAACACACTAACCCTTTTCTAAAAGGAGAAAATAAAGACAGAGTCTGTGTATATGCTGTGTGTAATACTCTTCAAACAGACTCAGCTCTCAGGGCCTATCAACAAATATGGAGGCACAAAGTGAACTGGTACCAGCACGTCTTAGACCTTAGCAATGAAGTCACAGTTAAAATTAGGATATTTGACTACTAATCAGACAAACAGAAGAGTGTGAATACTGTACATGTGTCCTAACTGTGGCTCATTCTGGAACTGACACGGTCATTTTTTTTTTTTCTGTTTTTATAATCACCTTCCTCCACTCCTGATTCCACATTCCTTTTGATTTTAGCAGCTGCCTCTGTTGTGTGTGGCTCCTAATCTGGCAGAATGGGCTAGACTGTCATTGTTAAAAATCCTGGGTCCTTATTGTCACTGCTCATAAACTGTTATTGTTTCCTGCTGATCTGACGCACAGAACCTGGGTGTACTGCATTCCAGATGTGTTCCGATGTAGTACTCCTTATCCACACTGGAGAGTGGCAGCCCAGTCTCTCCCTAACAGCCAAGCTACTTCTTGGCTGCATGGATTTGCAGACCAGCTAGAGGAAGGCTGGTTCAACTACCAGCTCAATGGAACCCTTCCTGTCTGTGTTCCTGATGGAAGCATTCTTTTCGCTGGTGCTAAGTCTCTACATCAGCAGCGCCCAAAGTTGCATAGAGGAGAGGCAAAATTTTGCTAGTAGGTCAATAGGAACAATTCTGTGTGAGGTCAATCCCACCTCCCCATCTTGATTTCTGGGTACAGGAATTTTGACTACAAGAGAAACAGCACCTTAAATGCAAAGCTGACGTAATGCACACTGTTTCTTGGAGACACTACCTCAGCCTGGGAAAGTACTGCCACCTAGCTGGCACTGTAACGCATCTTCTAAAGGCCCTCCTCCATTCTATTAGACCAGGAGTTTCAGGGTAATAGGGAAATTTGCAAGTTCAACGAATTACACAAGCATGAATCCATTGATTTTCATTTCTGATGTGAATTTCTTAGTCAGTACTGTACTGTGTAGAATCAAAGATGATAGACAAGGAAGCCCATACATTCATGGATAGCAGTTTTAGCAGAAACACAGAGAGTTAGGAAGGTAAATTCACATCCAGAGTAAACATCTATTCTAGCAAAAACAAATGTATCTTTTCCATGAGGAAAGCTGCCTCCTGTGAACAACCTGTCACCAGGTGGTGAACCATCCCTTGAAAGAGGATGCTCCTGAGAAGGTCCAGTGTTAGGTTCTGAATCACCCTGGCGATGTCAGCTTCCCTGCACTGCGGAACCAATGCACAACCTCCATTTCTGGAACCCTTATGTTAATGGTTCTACCCCAAACTAGTGAAGTAAGCACTTGAGAGTAGCTTCAGAAGAACAGGATTTCAGGGCTGGATCTCCACTTTGGTCCTGAGTTATCTGAACTGTGACTCTCACCTTGCTTTTACAGAAACATTAACATTCAATTTCTGCATTCCAATCATTGACTAAACTACCTGATGGCGCACATAAAGCATTTAGATTATACTTACTAAGGACTGAATCAGCATACTGAGACATGTTTTCTGAATTTCAGGAGGCACATTTGCAAAGCTTCTTTCTGACCAAAACCTTGCAAAATGGCTTATAATCCAGCTGTTAAAGTAAATAATCCAAGTTAGAGTAATGAAAAAACATAAAAGTCAGTATTTTTTTCAATCATATAAGCACATATAAACCACACATTGGGACCAACCCTCACTTAATTTTATAGGCTCAAAGATGGACTTAACTATATTCACTTTCAGAAATGTAGAGGGCATAAGGTCATCATGCTCATGGATAAATATTGGAGAAACCAGGAATGTTATCACGCAGGGCTGTCTCCTCAGTGGCGGAAATAAAATATGTTTCCACCCAGAAAGCTAGGAGTGGATGTTATTAATAACCTGGTGACCTTTGCTATCTGTAGAGTCAGACCTCACCCAAATCTCCCAGAATGTCTATCCCAGACTCTCCCTCTTTAGACCTTTATCTTTAGCTCCCAGCTAATAGAACCCATCCTTAGGGGGATGTCACATGCACTTTATAGCTTGCTGACCTCTATGCTGTCTCAGTCAGAGACGACACTAGATCTTAGGCCCTTTACCTATAGAACCCACCGTCGTGGTCACATGTGGGGCGTTTACCCACCAACCCCACAGCTCCCCAGAGTTTTCTTGAGTGTGAGCAGAAAGAAATATTAGATAGAAGGATTTATTGCAGAGAATATCGCGGAGATAAACAGATAGAAAATAAAGGATAGCCTCGAGAGGGCCTGGAACCTTTTCCAACGGGCCCCGACTGTCTCTGCCCCAGGGTTTTTAATAGAGACGCCAAGGGGTGGAGCAAATGACCTCCTCCCCCAGCACAGCCAAGTGCAGACCATCTCAGACACCTGCACTCAGGCCCATGGTTCTAATCATCCTCTATGCGCACCTGCTGGATAAAGCCACGAGGAACCCGAGACGGGCTCCCACAGTCACATGTACTTTGTAAGGGAGTTTCTAAGTAGTCACACCTTAAGCTTTATTGTGCACCTGGAACTGGAATGATTCCTGCCTGGAAACTCTTTTCCAAATGGTATTGTGTTTAAATATAATTATAATAAACTGCCTGGCAGCAGACTCCCTAAGTTTGATCCAGACCGACTAAATCAGGCTGAATGGAGTTTTCATTCTCACCTCTTCATGGTTTGTTTCTCTGGCTGCCGTGATGCTTGAAGGGACTCCCACACAGAAACACATACATGTTGGTTATGTGCACATTTTTACATAGCCCTGGTTTATCTTCAATGAAACTGACCCCATGTGTCTTAAGTAACATCTAAATCCAACTTCTCAATTGGTACAACTAGTTAAGCACTTGAACTGTGTTTGAAAAAAAGGCCAAGACTAAAACTGCCCACGAATGTTAGACAGTAGGAGTATATGTTATGTATACATATATATAAAGGACACACAATAACCACGGCACTGCGTAAGGCGACTTACTTCATGCAGTCAGCAAAAAGACTTTCCACTCCAACTGAATGAGCAATAATTAGGCACTCTAGAATCGATGCCAATGTTCTGGGAACAGGCTAAAATTGACAGAAAATATCACATTCAGTCTTATTAATTTACAGAGGCTGAAAGTATTTGGTTCATAAAGAAAATCGGATTTATATACTTAAACCATAAATAAATACGTACAATTCAAAATTTGATAAATTTGAAATTTCACTTCTTAGAGATCATTATGTGAAATTAAACAATCCAGACTCAGAACAATGAGTTATACATGCTTTCTCACACATGCAGATGTGACTTTAAATTCATATACATCTGTGTGTTTCTGTAGGACATCAAAATAGAAAGGGACTACGAAAAGGATGAAGAGGTCTAAAGCGGGGCAGCAAGGGACAAGCAACCATGATGGGATGTGTATGGCATAAAGGCACTAACCTCAGGGCTCCTTGGGCCCCACTGGTCCCTGTTAACATGGACACACATCAAAGCCACCATGGTCCTCTGGCCCGCAAGCCCACCCACCCTCCACTGCTACCCCAAACCTCAGGCTGTTCCAGTTTACAGCTCCCTCCTCACCAGAGCTACCTTGTACCTGGCAATGCTTTCCTTGCCACCCTCTCTGTCCCAGGGAGGTAGCCATGGCAGCTTTGGACTCCCCCTAATGAGAGACAGCCATGTAGCAGTTTCTTATTTCCCAGAAACCTTTCTTTTCACCCAGTGAGAGGTCCGCTGAGGTGGTTTCACTGTGCTCTCATTTACACCTAACAATCTGGGAAAACCAACACTCATTTGTTAGTTGGGAGTTTATAGACTACTAAAGATGATCAACAACCTATCCCTACAGCAAACTTTGAATACTCTCTGCTTTACAAGTAGAATAAGGCTTCTTTAAAAACATTTCCTTTTTTAAAAATATTTTTATTTTATAATTAACTTTATTTCACATATCAGTCACGGATTCCCCTGTCCTCCCTCCTCCTACCCCTCAGCCCTCCCCCCCAATCCACCCCCCATTCCTACCTCCTCCAAGGCAAGGACTCCCCTGGGGAGTCAGCCCAGCCTGGTAGACTCAGACAAGGCAGGTCTAGTCCCCTCCTCCCTACACCAAGGCTGAGCAAAAGTGTCCCAGCATAGGCCCTAGGTTCCAAAAAGCCAGCTCATGCACCAAGGACAGGTCCAGGTCCCACTGCCTGGGGGCCTCCTAAATAGTTCAAGCTAATTGACTGTCTCACTTATCCAGAGGGCCTGGTCCAGTTCCATGGGGGCTCCTCAGCCATTGGTTCACAGTTCATGTGTTTCCACTAGTTTGGCTATTTGTCCCTGTGCTTTTTCCAACCACGGCCTCAATATCTCTCGCTCACACAATCCCTCCTCTCTCTCACCGACTGGACTCCCAGAGATCCACTGTCTGATGGAAGCGGATGTGGAGATCCACGGCCGAGCCCCAGGTGGAGCTCTGGGAAACATTTCCTTCTAATCAGGGCAGTGATTTCAAGCTTTTGAACTATAACCTGTTATTAACTTTATTTTTCAACTGTTAAAGTATTACATTAGTATTTAAGAACTGAACGTAGGGTTTGGGGTGTAGCTTGGCTGGTGGAAAGCTTGTCTGAAATTCATGAAGCCTTGGGTTCAAACCCTAGCACTGCATACAGCAGGCATGTGAATGTAAGCCTGTAACTCCAGTACTGAGGAGGGAAGGCAGGCGGTTACTCTTAGCTTCTCAGTGAGTTTGAGGCCAGTCCAGGCTACACGAGATCCTGTCTCAAAAACTAATAAAAATAAGTAACTGGATGTAAATATTTTGCTTTGCTCATTGATGCTTTTCTTTTTAAATTTTATTTATTCTTTAATCTTTATGTGTGTGGTGTTTTCCCTGTGAAGGCCAGAAGAGGGCGTCAGATCCCCTGGAACTGGAGTTACAGGTGGTTACGAACTGTCACATGGGTGCTGGGAATCTAGGTCCTGTGGAAGAGTAGCCAGTGCTTTTAACCAGAGTCATCTCTCCAGCCTTTTAATGCTTTTCTTAAATAAGATCCCTTTAAGATAACTGATACTCTAGGTTTTCCTAAAATCAGAAGTTACCATCATTATATACAATATATAGCGGTAATTCCATGAAATGAAATGATTTGGCTTTCTGATCCACCTCGTAAGGGACATCAGATCAGTATGGTGGAAAGGACTTGCATGCACACACTTGACAGCCTAAAAGCACCCAGATGTCTGAAAAACCATAAAGTGTGCACAAGAGTTAAAAAGTCTAGAAGTCCAATTTTGTTTAGGAAGAACCAGCCCTATGTAACACAAAATCTACTATTTAATGTATAACAAGAATAATTTCTTTTTTTTCTTTTTTGGGTTTTTCTAGACAGAGTTTCTGTGTGTAGCTTTGGTGCCTGTCCTGAATCTCACTCTGTAGCCCAGGCTGGCCTCGAACTTACAGAGATCCACCTGCTTCTGCCTCCCAAGTGCTGGGATTAAAGGTGTGCACCACCACTGCCTGGCCAACAATAATTTCTATAAAAATGACTAAAATAAAAACTACGTACTGATTACCAAGTGTTTTTATAAGGAAATGACTGGCCTCCAGTCATTTTCAGAACCTGTTTATGGAATTTGGGAAGACATAATTATAAGAAAAAAATCAGAATGCAAAGCCCACCATAACCCTACTAAGGAAGTCCAAATATGTTTAACTATATAAAATGTTGGATAGAAAATTAATGAAATGACTAAAACTAGGTTTAGTAGATCTGGAGCCAGCTGTCCATCACATGTATCCAAATGTGTTATTAGAAGTTTATGATATTTAAGTTACTGTGATGCATTAATAAAGACTGAAGTTAAAAATGGTAACATTCAAAACTTCATTTATAAAAATAGATGTTAAGTCTACAAAAGCAGTAATGTTTAAGAGCCAGCTCAGCAGAAGCAAGAATCATCTCAAATACTCAACCACACACCAGTCTACAGTAAGATGTTCCACAGAATGGCATGCCACATAAACAGAATTCCCCCAGGATCTTAATAAAAACAAATACCCCCTTTGTTTTTAGACACTTAAATGCTAATCCTTTTGTGGTTCTTGGTGTGATAACTGGGTTCTCACACTATTATGTGAAGTGTGCTGCCCTCAAACCTATTCAGTGTCAGCAAATGAACTGTCCAGTTAAAAAAAATACCAAGTGGATTACTGTATATTATTGTTGTATATTGTACTGAAAGTTTAACACAAGAAGGTGCATTTGACTCCTATGCTCGTGAACATATGGAGAAGAGGCAACTGTGTGCAAAGATTCCTTATGGAAGAGACTTACAATGTAGACAGGAACTGGCTTCTCAAGCAGTCTCAGCTCAAAATGGGCACTGACACAGAGTGTTTGTTTTTTCAGCTACTACTTTAAATGGTATCTGCCAGACATGGTGTCCCAGAGTGTTACTTTAATACTTCTGTGATATCTGACTCCAGCCTTTCCCTCCTCTCAGACTAAAACTGTCTGGGGAGATCTAGAATATGGAGTTCACTCTTCCATTCTCTGGATCTAATTCCTATGGAAGCAGAAACTAAGATGGCAGGGAACTGTCCTTGACTTTAATTCAGGGAGACAGAAAAAGCCTTACTCAACATAGACACTGATTTAAATGTTATTAAAATAACAAAATTAGAACTCAGACAAATGGGTAATAGTGCATCAAGTACCTAATAAGAAAAAATAAAGAGTTGTTTCTGTTCATTATTAAATAGATGCTCAATGAATTATAGAAAATGTATAAATTAAGAAAAAGCATAAATACATGAATTAACTTACATTCACAAAGTATATTAAAGAAATGACCAGTCAGCCGGGCGGTGGTGGTGCACGCCTTTAATCCCAGCACTTGGGAGGCAGAGCCAGGCGGATCTCTGTGAGTTCGAGGCCAGCCTGGGCTACCAAGTGAGTTCCAGGAAAGGCACAAGGCTACACAGAGAAACCCTGTCTCGAAAAACCAAAAAAAACCAAAAAACAAAAAAAACCAAAAAACAAAAAAAACCAAAACCATTACAGTCAATTTCTGGTTTTTACAAGCATATCTCATGTTATTTCTCAACAAGAGTGCATACTAGTTAGACTGCGGCATTTTTAAGCATGACTGTGTTCACGGTTCCCAGTCGGGTGTGTGATAACTTGTGGTGTGTCAGATGTAACAAGTACCTTCTGAAAGAAGTTACAGTAGTCTCTTCTTAAGATGTAGACTGCTACTTCTCTCAACCCTTCCAGGCCGTACATGTCAGCCACGTTCAGTATCTGACTAAAGAAAACACATGTCAGTTGATAATTCTCAAACGTAAAATCAAAGTACAATACACAATAATTTCTTGATAATATAGTATGTCCAGAAAAAAAAATCTTAATTATAACTCTATTTGCTTTACATACATAGGTCAAAGTTGTCGGCACAGACACAGGACTTGGTTGTGGCAAGGAGGGAGGAAGAACTGAGATGCTGTGACATATAGAATAAAAGTGCTTTAAAGGCTATAATTTTTTTTTTTTTTTTGGAGACAAGGTTTCTCAGTGTAGTTTTGGTGCCTGTCCTGGATCTCGCTCTGTAGACCAGGCTGGCCTCAAACTCACAGAGATCCACCTGCTCTGCCTCCCGAGTGCTGGGATTAAAGGTGTGCACCACCACCGCCTGGCTAAAAGCTATAATTTTGTAAAAAAAATTTATTTTATGTATGTGAGTATTTTGCCTGCACGTATGTCTGTATACCACATGCATGCCTGATGCCCTTGGAGGCCAGAAGAGGGCACAGGATCTTCTGGAACTGGGGTCACAGATGGTTGTGAACCTCTTCAAAACCAACAAGTACTCTTAACTACAAAGTGAGTTTTTAATCTTTCCAGTCTCACACTTACTGTTTTTAAGTATCCCCCCAAAACATAATCAAAACAGAACAAAATAGACAATAAAAGTTAAGCTGCTACTTCACTGACACTTTGCAAAACAGTTCAACAAAAGAGAACCCATATAACTTTTATGTTCAAACTCACTTTTAAAAAGTAATACATACCCAACATTAGCTTTGTCTGGTAAATCCAAAGTCCCTCCATATATAAAATGCATCACAACATTCATTTCTACATGGGTGATACTGCAAGAAGAAAATAACACTCAAATCTAGAAAGTTAGGGTTTAATTAATATCAATAATACATCCTATTTTCCCATAAACTTGAAGTTCTAACCTCTATTATTCAAATAACATCATGTCAGTATAACATTAATTTAAAATCAGCAGCTCTGCTAGGCATGGTAGTGCACACCTTTAAACTCAGTACTTGGGAGGAAAAGGCAGAGAGATCTGAGTCTGAGAACTTGGTCTATGTAGCAAGTTTTCAATCAGCCACAGCTACACCATGAAGCCCTGAATCAGAAAATAAAGCAAAGGCTGGAGAGCTGACTGAACTGTTAAAATACTGTTGCTCTTGCAGAGGACCTGGCTCAGTTCCCAGCATTTACATGTTAGCTCACAGCCATCCTTAACTCCAGTTCTAGGGAATCCAACACCCTCTCCTGATCTCCACAGGCACCAGGCACACACAGGGTATACACACACACACACATACGTAAACACACATATATACAATATACATATATATGTATGAACATGTATATATGCAAAACATTCATATACATACAATAAAAATAAATCTAAAAAAATTAAAACAACAAAACATCTCTAGCAGCTATGGATTTTTATGTAAGTTTAAAATGTTTTATATTTTTAAAGTCTTTTTCTTAGTCTTTGAGGATTTCATATATTTTAATTTTTACCACATTCTGTCATATCCCCCAACTCCTCCTCAATTTCATGTTCTTTTTTCTCTTAAAACAACAACAAAAACAAGAAAAACTAAAAACATGGAGTGATCTATGTGGAAAGTGCTTCTGAGCACGAGGCATGCCCTGAGCATGGGGCGTGTCCTGGAGTAAGGCTGATCTGTCCAGTCACTTCACTGTGGGGCATTTACCCACCAACGCTACAGTTCCCCAGAGTTTTCTTGAATGGGAGCAGCAGGAAATATTAGATAGAAAGATTTAGATTGTGGAGATAAGCAGATAGAAAATAAAGGATAGCCTCGAGAGGGCCTGGAACCTATTCCAATGGGCCCTGTCTCTGCACCAGGGTTTTTATAGAGACGCCAAGGGGTGGAGCAAAAGACCTCCCCCCAGCATAGCCAAGTGCAGACCATCTCAGACACCTGCACTCAGGCCCGTGGTCCTAATCATCCTCTCTATGTGGACCTGCTGGGTAAAGCCACGAGGAACCTGAAAATGGGCTCCCAGCCTCCACCTCCTTGTCCTGGCAGCTGTCATCTGTGAACAGCTTCCTGAGGGGTGGGACTTCGTACCCACTGCCTCTCCTTCATGCTGGGGTTTTGTCTGGCTTGAGCTTGTGTGCATCTCGCTCATGGTGTCAGAGTCTCTGTGAGTGTGTGTGGATCTGCTCTGTGTCTAGAAAATGCTGTTTCCTTAAAATCATGAATCACTTCTGGCCCTTACAATCTTTCTGCCCCCTCTTCTGCATAGATCTCTGAGCCTTGAGGGGAGGAGTGTGCTAAAGACACGCCATTTAGGGCTGAGCATTCCTAAGTCTCTCACTCTCTGCATGTTGTCCAGTGGTGGGTCTCTGTAAATTACCACCTACCACAAGAATAAGCCTCTCTGATGAGGGCTGAGCAATGCACTGATCTACAGGTATAGTAGTGTGCCACAGAGTCATGAGCAATGCACTGATCTACAGGTATAGCAGTGTGTCACATAGTCATGAGCAATGCACTGATCTACAGGTATAGCAGTGTGTCACAGAGTCATGAGCAATGCACTGATCTACAGGTATAGCAGTGTGTCACAGAGTCATGAGCAATGCACTGATCTTCAGGTATAGCAGTGTGTCACAGGAGTCATGAGCAATGCACTGATCTACAGGTATAGATAGCAGTGTGTCAAAAAGTCATGAGCAATGCACTGATCTACAGGTATAGCAGTGTGTCACAGGAGTCATGAGCAATGCACTGATCTACAGGTATAGCAGTGTGTCACAGAGTCATGAGCAATGCACTGATCTACAGGTATAGCAGTGTGTCACAGGAGTCATGAGCAATGCACTGATCTACAGGTATAGCAGTGTGTCACAGGAGTCATTTTATTGCTGTGTTAATTTAGCACAATAATTAGCCTCAGTTTCATTAACACTATCAGGTATGAGTTCTACCTCATGGAGTGGGCCTTAACTTTTAAACATGGTTGGTTACTCCCGTAATATTCGTACCACTACTGCATTGGTAGAGTATCTTTCAGGTGGGTCATTACTATAGCTTCCAAGGTTCATAGCTGGGTGAGACTGAGGCTTAGTTTTCTCTCGAGTTGTAGGTTTAGCATCTTCTCACGCTATGACAGCTACCCAATGGAGATGAAGCTTCCAGTTGAGTACTAGCTACATTTTCCATGTTCTATGCTACAAGTATGCAGTGTCTTCAGCAACAGGGTCTTACTATCAGGTTGTGGAGGGTAACCAGTGAAACTGGCAATACCCTTTAGTGTCTGGGGAGGGCCTAAGGGGCCCTTTTGGCCAAAGACTCAAAAAAAAATGCAACCTACTCACGGTACTGGGGTTTTTATTTGGTATCATATGATATCTAGTTGGGACACTGTCTTCCTCATTATATGAATGAGTCTTTTAAAATCCTTTTATATATGTATATGTATTAGGAAGCTCCTACAGCAGTAAGTTTTAATTCGGCTTTTTACAAGGCTTGTAGTGTTAGCTATCCATCCCCACGTTTCCAAGTCTACCCTGTCCTCCCCACCCTTTTAACTCTCTTGTTCTAATTTCCCAGTTGTCTTTTATAACACCACATTCTATGTCCCCTTAAGTCCCTTCTTTCCCCGATCCTTTACTAGCTTCCTAACCTCTGTGGGTTCTCTAAATAAAGCACACATATTCAAAAGCATAAATGGTAACATATAAGAGAAAACATACATGTTTGCCTTTCTGGGTCTGGGTTACTTTACTCAGGATGACTGTTTCTAGTTCCATCCATCTACCTGCAAATTTCATTTTAACAGCTGAATAATTTCCCATTGTGTAAATGTACCACATTTTCATTACCCACTATCAGTTGGACATCGAGGCTGTTTCAATTTCTATTATGAGTAGAGCAGCGATGAGCATGGATGAGCAAGTATCTCTGTTGAAGGTTGCAGATTTCCTTGGGTGTGTGCCCAAGAGCTGTGTAGCTGGATCTGCCAGTAGTTTAACTTTTTGAGGAACTGCCACACTGATTTTCATAGTGGTTGACAAGTTAGCTCTCCCACCAGCAATGGATGAGTGCTCCTCCTATTCCAAATCCTCACCAGCACGAGCTGTCATCTGTTCCACTGATTTGGCCATTCTGAGTAGAGTAAGATGAAATCTCAGTGTGGTTTTAGTTCCTGTTCCCTGGTGGGTAAGGATGTTGAACATTTTTAAAGTGTTTCTGAGCCATTTGTGGTTTGTCCTGTAAAGACTCTCTTTAGTTCTATATCCCATTTTAAATCGGGCTGTTTTCTTGATGTTCCATTCTTTTGAGTTCTTTGTGTTCTAGCTTTCTGTCAGATAATTGGTAAATACCTTTTCACATTCTGTATGTTGCCTCTCCTCAAAGTATAGTGTCTTTTGCTTTATGGAAGCTTTTCAGTCTCATGAGGCCCTATTTTCTTTTTTTTTTTTTTTTTTTTTTTAGTTTTTCCGAGACAAGGTTTCTCTGCGTAGCTTTGTGCCTTTCCTGGAGCTCGCTCAGTAGACCAGGCTGGCCTTGAACTCACAGAGATCCACCTGGCTCTGCCTCCCGAGTGCCGGGATTAAAGGCGTGCGCCATCACTGCCCGGCTCATGAGGCCCTATTTATTGTTGGTTTTAGTGTGGTGCCATCGGGATCCTGTTCAGAAAGTCTTTTTCCTGTGCCAATGAGTTCAAGCCTATTCCCTATTTTATTTTCTACTGAATTAAGGATATCTGGTCTTATGTTCAGGGTTTTGATCTATTTGGAGCTGGTTTTGTGCAGGATGATAAATATGGATCTATTATCTTTCTTCTACATGCAACTTCCAGTTTGGCCAGTACCATTTGTTGAAGATGCTGTCTTTTCTCCAGTATGTAGTTTTGGCTTCTGTCTTAATTTAGGTTTTCATTGCTGTGAAGAGACACCATGACCACAGCAACTCTTAGAAAGGAAACATTTAATTGGAGTAGCTTGCTTGCAGTTTCAGAGGTTCAGTCTATTATCACGATGGGGAGCATGGTGGTGTGCAGACAGACAGGGTGCTGGAACTGAGAGTGCTACATCTTATAGGCAATAAGAAGCTAGCTGGCTGTCACACTGAGGGAAGTTTGAGCAAAAGAGACCTCAAGGCTCACCCCTACAGTGACACACTTCCTCCAACAAGGTTACACTTCCTAATAGTGCCTCTCTCTAGTAGTTCCACAACCACCATAGCTTGTTTGTCTAAAATCAGGTGTCTGTAGCTTGTATGGCGTCATGTCCTGGCCTTCTATTCTACTATTCTAATTACATTGATCAGTGTGTTCATTTTTACACCAATACATGCTATTTTTTATTGTTATATCTCTATAGGACAACTTGAAATTGGGGGTGGTAATACCTCCAGCAGTACTTTCTTTTTTCAGAATTATTTCAGTTAGCCTGTTTGTGTGCATGTTTCCACATGAAGTTAAAGATTATCTTTTCATTTTCTGTAAAGAATTGTGTTGGAATTTTTATGAAAATTGCTTTGAATGCACAGATCGCTTTTGGTAGCACAGTCATTCTCACTATACCAACCCTACCAATCCATAAGCATCCGTTCTCTTGTGTCTGCTTTAATTTCTTTCTCCAATGCCTTAAGGTTTTTATTATACAAGTCTTCTGCTTGCTTGGTTAGAGTTACCATAGGATAATATTTTTGAGGCTATTGTGAAAGTTATTGTTTCCATGAATTCTTTCTCAGTCTATTTGTCATGTGTATATAGAATTTTTGTATGTTAACTTTGTATCCTAGTACTTTGCTAAAAGTATTTATCACCTGTAGAAGTTTCCTGATTGTAGCATGAA